TTGAATTCTTCGGGGCACAATCCGTTGAAGAGGATATCACAAGCTTGAGCGTTGTATTGCAGCATTTTCAACTCTTCCGCGGTGGCTTCACGGTTCGGTTCTTTCCCGTCAAAGAATTCACCTTGCAAGCCAATACACACAATAGCCCAAACGGCGGGGTTATGTCCAAGAATATGCATTTTCATCTTATGCTTCCAACTAGCAAAATTAGTACCATCAAAGTAAGGACCTCTATGGTGATAATTTCCCTTGCTAGACGCCATACTCGCCTAGGTTGTGAAACCAAGGCTATGCCCACCAAAAGCTATGGAAATCAAAGCAAATGGAGACCAAAGCTCTAATACCACTTGTAGGATCGAAAGTATGTCTAGAGGGGGGTGATTAGACTACTTGACCAAATAAAAATCTAGCCTTTTACTAATTTTAGTTCTTGGCAGATTTTAGCTATCTTAGCACAAGTCAAGCAATCTCCACACAATTCAAGCAATCATGCAAAAGAGTATATGAGCAGCGGAAAGTAAAGCATGCAACTTGCAAGAATGTAAAGGGAAGGGTTTGGAGGATTCAAACGCAATTGGAGACAAGGATGTTTTTGTCGTGGTTCCGATAAGTGGTGCTATCGTACATCCACTTTGATGGAGACTTCAACCCACGGAGGGTAACAGTTGCGCGAGTCCACGGAGGGCTCCACCCATGAAGGGTCCACGAAGTAGCAACCTTGTCTATTCCATCACGGCCGTCGCCCACGAAGGACTTGCCTCACTAGCGGTAGATCTTCATGAAGTAGGCAATCTCCTTGCCCTTACAAACTCCTTGGTTCAACTCCACAATCTTGTTGGAGACTCCCAAGTGACACCTAGCCAATCTAGGGGACGCCACTCTCCAAGAAGTAACAAATGGTGTGTTGATGATGAACTCCTTGCTCTTGTGCTTCAAATGATAGTCTCCCCAACACTCAACTCTCTTTCACAGGATTTGGATTTGGTGGAAAGAAGATTTGAGTGGAAAGCAACTTGGGAAGGCTAGAGATCAAGATTCATATGGTTGGAATGGAATATCTTGACCTCAACACAAGTGTAGGTGGTTCTCTCTCAGAAAATATGTATTGGAAGTGTAGGTATGTTCTGATGGCTTTCTCCACGAATGAAGAGTGGGTGGAGGGGTATATATAGCCTCCACACAGAATCTAATCGTTACACACAATTTGCCAAACTCAGTGGGACTGAATGGTTAAACTCGGTCAGACCGATTCAGCAAACCTAGTGACCGTTAGGATTTTCGGTGGGACTGAGATGCAACTCGGTAGGACCGATATGGTTAGGGTTAGGGCATAACGTAATCTCGGTGTGACCGATTACACAAACTCGGTGGGACCGATTTTGGTAATATGCTAACCAGAGAGTTGGTCAGGTAAACTCGGTGGGACCGATTCGCTCATCTCAGTGAGACCGAAATGTTACAAAAAGGAAACAGAGAGTTTACATTGCAATCTCGGTGGGACCGATCGCTCATCTCGGTAAGACCGAAATGTTACGAAGGGAAACAGAGAGATTACAATCCCATCTCGGTGAGACCGAGATCCCTATCGGTGAGATCGATTTGCCTAGGGTTTGTGGCAGTGGCTATGACATTTGAAACTCGGTGGCGCCGGATAGAAAGAATCGGTGGGGCCGAGTTTGACTTTTGGTTTAGGTCATATGTGGATGTGGGAAGGTAGTTGAGGGTTTTGGAGCATATCACTAAGCACTTTGAGAAAGCAAGCCATTAAGTAACACCTCATCCCTCCTTGATAGTATTGGCTTTTCCTATGGACTCAATGTGATCTTGGATCACTAAAATATAAAATGTAGAGTCTTGAGCTTCACGCTTGAGCCAAACTTTTTGTCCTTAGAATTCTGAGGAATCCACTTTCCTCATCCATGCCATGCCATTCATTGAGCTTTTCCTGAAATATTAATGTTGGAATAATGTTAGCTCAATGAGCTATATGTTGTTAGGAATTACCAAAACCACCTAGGGATAGTTGCACTTTCACAAATCTCTATGTATATCGATTGGTGAGTTTAAAAAACAGATGGGAACCAATACAGAGGGCATGAATGGCAACAATGAGATGGGATAAGGAGTAGCGCACTAACTACATGAACTCGCAGGATTGTTTGCCACCACGTATTAGCCGGGCTTGGAGAATCTGCCAGCCAGATTTGCCTTGCGAGAGATCTGAATTGATTAGGAGAATAGACCAGCAGAGTAGGAAGCAAGAGAGGATGGATTGTGGGAGAGTGGGTCGCGAACTAACCTTGATCAGCTCGTGGTGATGCTTCCGCCACCGGCCGCCAAGCATGCGATGAATCCAGTAGGAGGCGAGGAAGGCGGCCATGTTGATACGGGGGAGGTTTCCGATTTTGTTTGCGCAGTTACCTCGTCGCGATCCGTTTGACTAGTGTTAGTCTCCGTCTTGGATTCCTATGATAGGTGGGGCCTCGGTAATGAAGCGCGTGTATTTAATTATTAATTTTCCAGGTTATTCACTATTGGCGGGAGAGAATGGAGGGAAAAGTAAAAATTGGAGTGAAACCAAAAAAGAAATACGAGGGTGTCTAACAATTTGAAGCCAAACAAATTATAATTTTTTTCCCTCAAAAAAAGTGCAATATGGGTGAAGTAAAAATGAATACTATTGCTCAAACAATAGAAAAGGTTAATCCAGAAACAACAAATTTCCTAGCTTGTAAGTTCCGACCTACATGTATAATTGTCATTCAAAAACACTAGTCCATCATATCCGAAAAAAATAGCAAATAACAAGGCTCCACATTTTCAGATAGGTGACTTTTCCATTATCCATCGAACCTGCATGTAGAAGCAATAGAGTAGTAAGTTTCATGTGCGAAATTTATACACCAAATTCTAAACCATTTCCTAACAATGGTAAACTTGACATCCAATGTCACAGAATGATAGTAAATTTGTGAACACGTAGTACAGCTACGTAAAATCTGTGAACACATAGTGCATCACAAGCAGTAAATAGTATGTCTAGCCTTCACCTCTTGTACGACAGCAGCTAGCAAGTTCAAATAGTCAAATTCAATTGTTGATCGATTGAATTTTCATCATGATATAACACCAGCAGCAGCTGCCAAAGTTCATCTAGTCCCAAACTCCTAGAACCATGTTGTACAATCTGAGTTCTTTGATCTCACAATGCACTACATGCAAAAATATTCTAAACATATACCAATCAAGTATACACAAAAAAAACAAGGACTTCTTTTTCTTTCTTGGTTGACTGAAATTGGCAAGGAGCTAAGGTGAGATGAACACAACAAACACTCAAGCCAAATAAAACAAAAGAATTGATCTTCCATGAAACAGAGAGGCATTCACATCTTAAGGGAAAGAAATGGAACTCGACGATAAGTTTAATCAAGGTGCATCAGAGTGACATCTTTGTGCATTTTCGAACTATTGTCCACTTGAGTTTCAGAAAATACTGTGAAATAGATATAATAGTCTTGTCAACAAATGATATAAGTGTATGTACTCCAGAGATTTGATATAGGTCCAAGTATTACTCTTAACATATAAAAATATAGAGGTTGATGTAATCATCTCTCATCTTGTCCCATGTTATTCAAATTTGGATAAAAAAAATCAACAGTGGATTCAGAGTACTACTCGATATAGATTCTCAAAGTCGTCGTTTAGTTTAGCAGGCATCTGTTATATTTTTTAAACACTCTTGTACATTTGCTTTATAAGAATATAATTGTTGCCTTGTTCTTATTATTGATGTGCTCCATTCCTGGACATTGTTCTGTTATTACCTTAGAAGAGTCATGTACATACACGTTCTTATTTATGTTGCCAATTGGGGTCCTTGTTCTGAGTATTCTCACTTGTTTGTCTTACTCCCATATATACATGGACTCTATACTAAAACTAAAACTTAAATGTTATTAGTTTCGCAGTGGATATGACAATAAGGGATCACATTTACAAAAAGAAGGGAGGAGTACTAGGACTTTGTACACTTTTGCTTAGGTTAACCAACTTTCTAATCATGATTGACTAAATTACTTCCATTTTCCTTTTGCAAATCCGTGTCACATTTCCAGTGACTTGTAACCCGTAATAAATGTTACAGAAAAATCACTGACGTTTGTGATTGCAGGTACACAAGGAAAGACCGAAGCTGGGGGAGATCACACAGTTCAGTGAGATGCTATTATGTGTTGGTCATGATGTACTCACATTAAAAATATTGTTTCTTTGAATATTTACAGTCCCAAACTCCTGAGTATTTCTGAAACTTCAACCATAATATCTAACTGTGGATGTACCCCAGCTTACACTATATTCTATGAATATTTGTATCAAATATTCCCTGAAAAACTGAATTCGAAGATGAATGTTTACTCAGTGCAATGCTTACACTACATTCCGTGAATATTTCAAGCATTCGCTATACAAATTGAATTCATTGCTGAATGTTTACTTAGTGCAACATTTAAACTGTATTCCTGTACAAATTCTGTTACCAACCGAACAGCAATGATGTGGATAGGGATTAGGAGGGATAGGGGACAAACCCCAACAGGGATTAGAGTGATAGAAAGAGGTTTCACTCAAACCCCATGTTGATCAATTCCCTCTTGGGAACTAATCCCAAACAACTGAACAGAGCCCAGGTGGCACATTACATCTCTGAAATTGTAACAAGCCCGAAGCTCCTCTCTCTCAGATGATTTGATCGCAGAGATAGGGGAATGGATCCATCTCTCATACTTGATGGTCCATCTTCTTAATCATATACCAAATCCCCCTACACCCCACGGTCATGTCCTGAGGTGGCTACGCATAAGGTGACTGGATGAGAGGAGACAGGAAGGAGGATACCTCGAAGGCCAATCTCGCTGTCGTACACGGTGAGGGAGAAGAAGGGCGACCGGCGGGCAGGTTGGATGGGCAGCCAGAGGAGCAGAGGCCGTTAGCACATGACTTGCATCTTTCCTACCACGGCCTTGATGCTTCTCCCTTCGCTACCCGCAAAGCCAGCGCTGCCCTATCCGTCGCCGCCTTCCCATCGCTCCCCAGACCGTCGCTGCTTTCCTGCCACTCTCCTGTCCGTCGCCGCCTTCCCGCTGCTGCCCTGTCCGTCGCCGCCTTCCTGCCGCTCCCCAGACCGTCGCCGCCTTCCCGTCGCCCCCTGCCCGGCTGCCTTCCTGCCTTCCCTCTTAGTGAGAGAAAATTGGATGACTGATTTGTTTCGTAGTAGACCTAGATCGATCCGGACTTGAAGGCGAATATCAATTTGGATCAGAGGAAAAAAATGGTGGACTTCGCGCGATTTGGTTTTGCTCGGACGGTTAGCACATATTTTCGCGCCACGTATCCCTAAAAAAGATTTTTGCGCCACATTCATAATATTTACCGGCGTGTCTAATTAATTTTTTTGTGCTGAATTAAATTTCTATTTTTAATTATGTATATTTGCAGTCTCTTAATAGATACAATTTGCAACCAATACATGTCAACATATAAGATCTGTTGCACCACAACAGGGTCACGAGCTGCAATCTGCAACACATATGCTACACCGCTTATATGTGTATCTACTGTGAATTTTGCAACAAATAGTCAAAACGATGTAGAATATGTGTTGCTTTATAGAGGGTATCCTTGTAGTGGAACCTGACCTGATGGCCAGGGGCGTAGCTCTCGATCTGCTCCAGATGGCCAAGCGAGTTGGCCCGCAGTCTAAAGCCGCCGAATACGAAGATCTGTCCCAGGAGGAAAACCTCACCCTGGACCGCATCGTTACCGATGATCGAAGGAGCCATCAAGCCTTACGGTGACGGCACATGGAACTCTCAATGAAAGCACCAATGTCGGTGTCAAAACTGGCGGATCTCGGGTAGGGGGTCCCGAACTGTGCATCTAAGGCGGATGGTAACACGAGACAGGGGACACGATGTTTACCCAGGTTCGGGCCCTCTCGATGGAGGTAATACCCTACTTCCTGCTTGATTGATCTTGATGATATGAGTATTACTAGAGTTGATCTACCACAAGATCGTAGAGGCTAAACCCTAGAAGCTAGCCTATGGTATGATTGTTGTCCTATGGACTAAAACCCTCTGGTTTATACAGACACCAGAGGGGGCTAGGGTTACACAGAGTCGGTTACAAGGAAGGAGATCTACATATCCGTATTGCCAAGCTTGCCTTCCACGCCAAGGAGAGTCCCATCCGGACACGGGACGAAGTCTTCAATCTTGTATCTTCATAGTCCAATAGTCCGGCCAAAGGATATAGTCCGGCTATCCGGAGACCCCCTAATCCAGGACTCCCTCATAATCCCTTCACGGTCACTTACGAAAGTGAGATCCGATAGATATGGTAAGATAATATTTTTGATATTTTTATGATAAAGATGCAAAGTAAATAAAGAAAAATAAAAACGGTGCAAGAAATAGCTTGTTGATGGAAGATTAATATGATAGAAAATAGACCCCGGGGCCATAGGTTTCACTAGTGGCTTCTCTCGAGAGCATAAGTATTACGGTGGGTGAACAAATTACTGTTGAGCAATTGACAAAATTGAGCATAGTTATGAGAATATCTAGGTATGATCATGTATATAGGCATCATGTCCGAGACAAGTAGACCGACTCCTGCCTGCATCTACTACTATTACTCCACACATCGACTGCTATCCAGCATGCATCTAGAGTATTAAGTTCAAAAGAACAGAGTAAACGCTTTAAGCAAGATGACATGATGTAGAGGGATAAACTCATGCAATATGATATAAACCCCATCTTGTTATCCTTGATGGCAACAATACAATACGTGCCTTGCTGTCCCTACTGTCACTGGGAAAGGACACCACAAGATTGAACCCAAAGCTAAGCACTTCTCCCATTGCAAGAAAGATCAATCTAGTAGGCCAAACCAAACTGATAATTCGAAGAGACTTGCAAAGATAACCAATCATAAATAAAAGAATTCAGAAAAGATTCAAATATTGTTCATAGATAAACTTGATCATAAACCCACAATTCATCGGTCTCAACAAACGCACCGCAAAAGAAGATTACATCGAATAGATCTCCACAAGAGAGGGGGAGAACATTGTATTGAGATCAAAAAAGAGAGAAGAATCCATCTAGCTAATAACTATGGACCCGAAGGTCTGAGGTAAACTACTCACACATCATCGGAGAGGCTATGGTGTTGATGTAGAAGCCCTTCGTGATCGATGCCCTCTCCGGCGGAGCTCCGGAAAAGGCCCCAAGATGGGATCTCGCGGGTACAGAAGGTTGCGGCAGTGGAATTAGGGTTTTTGCTCCGTATCTGGTAGTTTGGGGGTATGTAGGTATATATAGGAGGAAGAAGTACGGCGGTGGAGCAACATGGGCCCCACGAGGGTGAAGGGCGTGCCTGGGGGGGGGGGGGTAGGCGCACCCCCTACCTCGTGCCTTCCTGGTTGCTTTCTTGACGTAGGGTCCAAGTCCTCTGGATCACGTTCGTTTCAAAAAATCACGTTCCCGAAGGTTTGATTCTGTTTGGACTCCGTTTGATATTCTTTTTCTATGAAACTCTGAAATAGGCAAAAAACTGCAATTTTGGGCCGGGCCTTCGGTTAATAGGTTAGTCCCAAAAATAATATAAAAGTGTATGATAAAGCCCAATAATGTCCAAAACAGAATATAATATAGCATGGAACAATAAAAAATTATAGGTACGTTGGAGACGTATCACTTACCATCAGGTGCCTCCTTGGATTTCTTCAAACTTTCTAGTTCGGCGGTGACAGTTAGCTTGGTCCGACATTCTTAAAGCTCCTTGGACAGTGTTTTATTTTCCGTCATGAGTACCTGATGATATAATGACCCTTAAATCAGTTGGCCCAACTGCTTCAAATCTCGGGGGCTACTGACATATGATTACTGAATCTACTCAAAGTTTTTTACCCGCATATCCTTTGAAAGCTGGTGGGTGGCTCTGGCAAGTCCATCCTGAGCAGCCCGAATATATGCATCCGCAGAGCTGAGGGCGTTGAAGACCTCTTCGGTGAAACTTGGGTCGCGCATGACCTCTTTCCGTTGCTGATGATTCATTGCGCTCTCCACTTCAAAATTGGTGACGGATACATTATCTGAATCCTCCTGGAGATGACAATCCGGCACTGTGCCAGTATCAACACTAGACCTTGTGGTAGGGTCCGGGGCCTGATGGGTCGACGCATGACCGGCAAGGTCCCCGGATATAGTCCGGCTTATGTTGTTCCTAAAAATATGGCCCATAGGAAAACATCACGATTCGGTCTATTCGCCGAGTGCGTGTCAAAAACTATACCTCTTTGGTGAAGGTGGGGGCGGCATTATCACCGTTCGCCTTTCTTTTCAAAGACCCGCCCTGCATGGGCGTTGCCTTCTTAGAGGACGCCTCTGATACAACTCGACGAGACGAGCACTGCCCCTTCGGAGCATGAGACAGTGCGGTGGGTGAGGTGCAATAGGAAAACTCTTTTGGAGGAGACGTCCGCTGGGTACTTACATGGGAGGAGGGGAGAAGGCTGGGATAATCGGCTATAATAGCCACTTCCGTGCCGTCGTAGCTCGCCTGATAAAAGACCCCCTCCTTAAGTTCTATAAATATATCTGGATCCTCCTGGATCCAGGTCTCGAACATGGTCCTCTAGCTGCGGAGCGGGGCTGTAGATCCCCTCGACGACCTTTCTCCACTCCTATAAAAAATAGTCGGATTAAATTCAACTAGCATAACCCAGGAAAGAGATTGAGTAAAGGCCAATAATGAAAGAAAAACTCACCCAGTCGATGGGGTTATACATGGAAAAACCTTCCTGACATTTCAAGCGAGTGAAGTCTTCCTTCTCCCCTTTGTAATGGTCAGCTAAGATGGTGGCCAGGGCGGCAAAATTGTCCAGACATTTGCATAGACAACGGGAGGCATCGTCCTCCCCATTGTAATTCCACATAGGGAAACCCATAGATTGGAGCGGCTGAAGGCACCGCGTTATTGAAATCGCCATTACCTCGATTATAGACATCCCGAAGTTGGCAAGCACTCTGATCTTGCTTGCTATCCTCTTGACCTCCGCACTGTCTTCTTCCTCGAGGCTTCGGGGATGCTTGCAGGGCGCACTTCTTTAAAGGAGCATTGGAGAATTCGGGAAGGCCGCGCCAGATTGGGTCCGGAAGAATGTTGTCTTCAATATAAAACCATTCCGAGGGACACTCTTCGGATGCCTTCTTCAGAGTGCCGGACAGGTATCCTGTCCCAGCTATGCGCCATACTTAGGCGCCACCCACCTCGAATATAGATCCCTTTTGGGAGCGGGGGACGAGGCAGAAAAATTTCCGCCATAGCTCAAAATGAGCCTCACAGCCTAGGAACAGCTCACAAAGAGCAACGAAGCCCGCGATATGCAGGATAGAGCCTGGCGTCAGATTGTGCAGTTGGAGGCCGCATTACTCCAGGAGACCTCTAAGGAAAGGGTGGATAGGGAATTCTATGCCTCTCAAAAGGAAGGATACGAAGCACAACCGCTCCTCTTTAGAAGGATTGGGGAAATTCTCCGCCAAGGCTTCACCATTGAGGGAAGTTAATCCAGCCCGAACAGAAACAAGATCCGCGGGAGGAAGATATCCCTGCGACTGAAGTTTGGTCAGATGGGCGCGGGACACCAAGCAGCTTTCCCAGTCGCCTTTTTGAGGGTCATGGGGACATGAGGAAGAGCTAGGAACGCCTGCCATGTTTGGACGATTTCCTATGGCGAGTTCTAATGATTTCCGCATGGTGTGGAATGACGTCTGAGATCTAATCTCCTTAAATAGACTCCTTCCCTGCGCGGTCAAGGGGTTATTTGTAAAAAAACACCTAGACCGTTCGCATTCGTTTTCACACATGGAAGCCGAGGCGACGATAGCAAAGAATCAATAGAATATGATATTCAATGAGGAGCCAAACTATCATCGATCCGAAGTATAACGAAGAACCCGCCTTGCAAAGCCGGATACTACATCGTCATTGAAGGCAAGTTCAGGGGCTACTAAGGGAGTCCTGGATTAAGGGGTCCTCGGATGGCCGGGCTATGTGATGTGGGCCGTACTGATGGGCCGGGAAGATACAAGATAGAAGGCCTTCCCCCGTGTCCGGATGGGACTCTCCTTTGCGTGGATGGCAAGCTTGGCGTCCGGCTGTGCAGTTTCCTTTCTCTATAAGCCGACTCTGTACAACCCTAGCCCCCTCTAGTGTCTATATAAACCAG